CTTTCTGAGTGTGTGATCATCTGTTCTAGAAAGGCATCATCCAGTTCTACAGTCTGACTTGGGGGTCTGTAGTAAACTCCCACAATAATATCCCTGTTGTTTCCTTCCTCGTTAATTTTTATCCAGATGCTCTCCACCTGATTTCCAGGATTTAAGTCCTGGATCTCTTCACAGGTGTAAACATTCCTGACATATAATGCTATTCCTCTTCATTTCCTGTGTGGCCTATATCTCTTTAAAAGGTTATACCCCTCTGTTCCTACATTCCAGTCATGAGACTCATCCCACCAGGTTTCAGTGATGCTTATTATATCATATTTGCTTTGTTGTGCTAGGAGTTCAAGTTCATCTTTTTTATTTCCCATGCTCTGTGCATTAGGGTAGAGACATCTAAGAACATGGGTCCTCCCCACTTGCTGCCTGTGTTAGGTCTTTTGCCTCCCACTGTTGGACCCTTGCATCATTTGCCTTGTTCCATATATATATATATATACATACACACACACACACACTCTATAACACTTTGACTATTATCTCCAGCCCATGATGTACTCCTGCCTTCCAAGATACCTTCCAAGATGTTGTCTCTCTCCCCCACATGATTCAGTTTAAAGCCCTCCTGATCAAATGTTTGAGACTATTGGCAAAAATGTTTCTGCCAACTGGTGTGAGATGCAGCCCATCTCTTGCCAGACATCCACCCTCATGGAACCGCAGCCCATGATCCAAAAATCCAAATCGTACTTGGTGGCACCATCTACAGAGCCAGTTATTCACATGTACTATCTTCCTCTCCCTTCCTAATGGCCTGGAGTGTTCCAGCAACATTCATCTGAAGAAACAGGAGCAGGAAGCAGTGAAGAAGTTTCTGATGACATGTGATCAGGAACTGAGGACATGAATAACAAACCATTTTTGAGACCAGGGGTGTGAGAAATCCCCAAGAAATAACTTGTTTTTTCCTTCATTTAGGGTGTTCTCTACAGCAGGAGTTGCAGAGCACCTTTAGCACTTTCCATCTCTTCATCCTCAAGAGTCCGATTCCAGATCTCAATCTTGTGCCAAAGCATGGTACATAAGACTTTAAAACAATGCCACAATACTCAAACCTTACAAATGACATGTAAGTACATTATTTCACACTGGCGATAACCCTGTTCTACTCCACAATTTCTTAAAACCCTAGTCACACAACTTGTAATGAATTGGAGGCTGGATGAAGAAAAAGAAAGCCACAAAGGCGATTCAGCACAATTAACATTAGTAGTGCATGTGAAATCCTGCACATAACTTCCACTTGTGAGAAATAAATGGAGCAGAAACATTGACATTTACATTGGTTTAAGTAATGGAGCATCCACTCGAGTGTGCAGCATAAATAACAGTAGATAAAAGCTTTGCCGTCACCCTAAACAAAATACATGCTGAAGAGCCCAGAACCCAATTTCAGTTTCTCTGAAATGTTTTCTACTCACTGTGCAATCAACACTTTGCTTTCAAGGAGACATAACCATGATACGTAGCTGGGCTGGACTGCCCATTTTTTATCAATTCCTTGGTTTATTTAAGCATCTAAAATGCTTAGGCTCATTTACCAGAACTAGTGTCATGACTGAACAATGGATCATACAGTCAGAGCTCAGAGACAATTAGCAGATATAATGGTGTTGTATGCTACCAGCTCAGGAATCCCTGGTCTGGCTGAGCTTAGGTTCAATATAAAGATTGTGGGGTAGGATGGATTTCCCCGGCAGCAATATATCACCGTGAAATATGTTTGCTATAAAGTATGTTGCAATGGCTTGCCCTTGATTAAGATTCCTTCACTTTACAAAATACCAGCTTCTGGTTGAGAGAAAAGCTGCTAGAACCAGTTTGGTTCAACATAGTTACTTGCATTTTTAGCCTCTGTTTGGAGTCCATGGCTACAGGGACTGATGTCATGAGCAGCTGTACATTACACTACTGATCATCTGGGATGGTCTATGCCATACATACCCACATACAATGTTAGGAGACAACCATATCTACACAATACCCATGCCAAGATGTACATATGCACATTCTAGATAAGAACAGCAAAGGTTAGCTGGAACCCTTCTCCAGTCCAAGCCTATAGCTAGCACCTATATGAACTGTATATCTACCATGACCTGGTGTGCTGAGAAAACTGACTGAACTATTGAAATACTGAGTACCCACCAGACAAGGTTCTATCTCAGAGTGTGACTGCACTGTTAGTAAACAATGCAGTATAGTTAGGAAATACTGTTGCCAGGAAATGTCATCTTTGGGGCAATGGTGATCTGATTAACTTATGTAATGTTTTTCTTAAGTGTGTGTTTGAGACATTATAATGTTTTGTTAAACAAAACACCAGGAATACATCTCAGGAAGTACAGATGGATATATTTTGTTTTCAGCTGGGTTTGTTGGAGAGGTCTGAACTACAGGTCCCATGACTCTGTAAAAAAGAGTCATAGCTGCTAACATGGTATCTATGTCTAATTAACCATTTGTAAGCCACTCTGATAGCCTTTTGGCTGAAGAGCGGGGTATAAATACATCATCATCATCATAGTATCAAACAGTGTGAATACACCCCCTTTCAGATCATGGGCCCCCATTCAGATCATTCAAGCTCCAGTAATAGGTACTGGCTTCCCTCTTACTCTCATTGGCTTTGGATCTACCTGTGTCAGGGCTACTCCTTTCATCCACATCTGATTCCTTCAATAGAGAGATATCAATAGCAATTGCACGTACATTTCTATACCACTTATCAGTGCACTTAGCGGTTTACAATATGTAAGCTAATTGCCCCCATCAAGCTGGGTACTCATTGAGCAACCTCAGAAGGATGCAAGCCTGAGTTGAACTTGAGCCCTTGGCTGGTATTGAACTTGCAACCTTGCAGTGAGTGAGTGGCTGCAGTACAGGCATTTAACCACTGTGCCACCAGGGCTCCTCTTGAAGGCTTTTCCAAGAGATTGGGGAGGCTTCTCACTGTGGTCTCAAATTACTAGAAGTTTTCTGTTTCAATAAATTGCAATTTCTTCCTCCTGTAATTCCAGAAGTGAGTATCCTTTCATCCTTTTTTCCTTTCCTTTTCTTTTCTGCCACTGCAGGTACATTATTACATCTAAAATAACAGTTCATAGAGT